TTAACAGTTTCGAGCTGTAGAAAAATTTGTTCTACATGTCTCATCTATGTGTTGTGCCACAGTGGTGGTGCTTAGTGTTCATCGATGATTTGCAATACGCACACTAAGCGTTTAATTCTTACTTTTATATACTTTCGGCATCTTGTTCTGGTCGCAATCACCAAACCCATTAAAAGAGTTATCAAAAACTCAGAAGTAGTTCAAGTTCAAGAAGTCATAAAAAATTAAAAAACTTTGAAGAAAAAAAATAGAAATTCCTAGTTTTATGGTATATCTGCCGAAATTCCTAGTTTTATTGTATATCTGCCGAAATTGCTTAAAAATAATTAACAATTGCTTTAAAAAATAAAAGTTGCAAATATATTTTTCAAAGTTGCCACATCTAGACACTAAATTGCCAAACTGGCAGCACTAGTTCAGGGCGATTAAGTTCTGATCACCGCTGTGTTAGAACTACTTTAGCAATAAATTTTACTTATAGAGGAAAAAATTAAAAATGTTAAATGAAGCAGACAATTTGGCAGACATCTTTCGTGGTGGACTGCCTTATTGCCTTATTATAACGTTACCCATATTAATAATGTGCTCACCATGTCTTGCTAGTGAATTTCAAGTAGCGTCAATGGCAAAATTTGATGTTAATGGAGAACAATTTGGTAAATACAATATTTAATATATTTATGTAACATATACATACCTATGTATGTATATATAGATTCATATGTATGCTGAACACATATTTTTACGTTTTATAGGCTCGCGGTCATCTGCAATATCATTAGAAGCTAAGTCCTTATATACTTGGAGCACAGGCCGGCATTGTGTTCTAGCTAGGTAAGCACGTAATTCAAAGTCGAATTAGGCAGAAATATTGTCATTTTATTCGAGCAAATGACTTCAAAATATGTAACTAAATACAAATAATAATTTATTTTAACATGTTATCAGCTAGTACATATGTATGTGCATATTACAAAGCTAATTAGTAAAACGATAATTGAAAATGTACATACATACATTAATTTACTAGCTATGTTTAGCTCTAATACTGTATAAAATCAGTTTTTCTCTATTTAACATGCCCCTACTAGGCGTAGGCATCTCATTTGTTGCCAGTACTTAGAACGAGCTAACGGTAACCTAAATGCGAAATTTGGATACTTACGCTCCAAAAATGAGAAAATAACAGGATATTTCTCGATATGCCACGCCCCTAAAAAGGCGTAAAAATTAGTTTTAGGTTGTCGATGGAGGCGGTTACTACGAGCCTAAACCACTAATAATGAGAACAGCATGCTTTTTTTCAGTGTGCTATGTTTAGCACACTACATTAGCAATACTACTAAAGATAACGCATACCAATGCATTTCATCTTAAAGAGAATTTTATTCTCCACGTTTTGCTCCATTTCTAACAATAACAAAAATATGAATAATATATTTAATCGGTTGACATAAGTGATGAGAAAAAATTGAGCACTTTTAATTCGAACGCTGTGTAATGTGATTTACTATCATACTTAAATCAATAATTTAATTAAAATTATAATTCTGTGACGTCGGCCTTGGCCTGTATTACGCATCAAACCTGTTTTGGCAGTTTTCTTGATAAATTGAGCCCATCAATTTTTGTAACTGGACTTTCAAGTCAGAAATGTTTCTTTTTGGCTTATTTCGAAACTTGCCTTTTAATGATGGTGGCTAATGCCACCATATATTTTTAATTAGGATGATGGTCAATCTAAAATCTCCATTTGATTCCAGCCATTTTTGGTTCGTTTGGCTTTGCGCGAAGCTGAAAAGTTCCAGTTCTGGTATTGATGGCCGAAAACAATCTTTAAAAATATTAAATATTGTCGCATCGCCGACACTAACATAAAATCTAGCTTCGTCGCTAAATATGATTGCCTTTAAGTCCAAGACTCTCTTTCCCGAGCCCATTGCAAATGTTTCTTTGTTGACGAAGTGTAGGCAAACTTTTTTCTTTGGCCTAGGAGTAAGATAACTTATTATTCTTGCTTTTTGTCGCAGGTTGTTCTTGCTGATTTTCGGCCTCTATTTGAAATGTTATTTTCAATATTTCTATTTTTGTGAAAATTTTTATCACCCCATGCACAGACACATTTTTATACCCTGAACCCATTGAAAATGGGAAACCAGGGTATAATTATTTATTTATTTATTGTCATCAAGAATTAATTCTAAATAACAATTTGTTAAGCCAGAGCGACAAAGGCCTTCA